GCCCTCTTCAAGCAGAAGTGATCCAACACACCTCTCTTAAAGCTACTGTGAAAAAGGGCAAAAAGCATTACTGATGCAATAACACCACTGTTAACATATTTCTGATGATAGGGTAGTTATAAGAGCTTTTTGTGTAGTCTCTTATTATTATAGGGACTGCCATCTTCTAGCATAACTACTTCCTTCACCCAGCAGCAGTCATAAGCAGTTTGCTATAATGATGAATGTTCTCACAGTAAAAAATGGCATTGTAAAACTGACTGTAATCAGGGTAAAAGCGACTGTGGTGGTGCTGAATATCTGTTCATGGTCAGTTCTCCACAAAGCAGTGTTTTTCATTTTATAACCAGAAGGATGATTTTTATCTCCCACAGTGTACCCTGAGAGCTAAAAAACAAAATTTGTACGTTTTAGTGTCCCTGCTATAACTGAGAGGCATCAGGTTCCTGCAGAGGAGGCAATTTTGTCAGTGACGCATGAGACAAAGTGGCATCCAAGCCATTCTTTCAAATTTTCATTTGGTGGTAATTCCAACAGGTCGATGGACTGGGTTTTGTCATTAGTAGGAACAGACAGGAACATTTTTTATCCTTGGCCTGAGCATGTGTCATAATCAAATGTTCCTACAAAGCTGGGAAATAACATTTACATCAGAGCAAAAAAAAGAAGAAGAAAAAAGAAAAAGAATAAGAAAAAGAAGAAGAAGAAAAAAGAAAAAGAAAAAGAATAAGAAAAAGAAGAAGAAGAAGAAAAAAGAAAAAGAAGAAGAAGAAAAAGAAAAAGAAGAAGGAAAAAAGAAGAAGAAAAAGAAAAAGAAAAAGAAGAAGAAAAAGAAAAAGAAAAAGAAAAAGAAAAAGAAAAAGAAAAAAAAAAGAAAAAGAAAAAGAAAAAGAAAAAGAAAAAGAGAAAGAGAAAGAGAAAGAAAAAGAAAAAGAAAAAGAAAAAGAAAAAGAAAAAGAAAAAGAAAAAGAAAAAGAAAAAGAAAAAGAAAAAGAAAAAGAAAGAGAAAAAGAAAAAGAAAAAGAAAAAGAAAAAGAAAAAGAAAAAGAAAAAGAAAAAGAAAAAGAAAAAGAAAAAGAAAAAGAAAAAGAAAAAGAAAAAGAAAAAAAGAAAAATTAAAAAAAAAAAATAAAAATAAAAATAAAAACAAGAAAAGAAAAAGGAACATTTTCTGTCCTAGGCACTGCCATATGTCTTTCCAGGTGGAAATACAACAGGGTGCAGTAAGGCAAGGACTGTGCAGGGACCCTGTTGTGCTTGGCTGTGGGAAAGCATATGGTACAATAACATTCCAGCTCTGACTGTGAATTTTCCTTCTCTTGTCTTCTCTGGCAAACATGACTGTTCTAATATATATTTAACTGTTCTGTTTGTGCCTAGGAATAGAGTGCTCCTCTGTTTTCTAAACTACCTATTAGATCAGGTCCCACTTCAGAAAAAAATCTCACAAGAAAGAGAGAAGAGGTATGAAAAATTTTCTCACTCATTGTTTGAACCACTTTTATAGTGTTGAAGAGGCTTGGATTTCAACAGCCTTTATGGAAACCTTAGGACCCTGAAATGCCAGGCAAGGGAATCTCTCCCTGTCTTGAAGCACTGGCAGCTTCAAAGAAAAACAGAGGTGGTCCTCAGCCAATTTTTGTTCCCCTGCAACAATGCAGACATGCAGCTGGCTTGGTCTCAGGACTTCCTTCCTGGCCTTGGAGGTGATTGCATGGAAAGTATTGCATTTCAGGATTTATTGTTTATTGTTTAAGTTTCTCAGCACACTCTTCGGGGCATGATGCCACAGAAGTGTTAGCAAAACCCGAGTTCCTGTCATCCTGGTCTCCTGTGCTTGGCCATGCATGTCTAGGACTGCATTGTGAGCTTCACATCTCCAGGGCCTTAATTTCTGCGGAATGTGATGAAATGCTTCGGATAGCTGTGAAATCAGAGATTATAGAAAAAAGCAGGAGAGGTTATATTTGTTTCAGTATCTTATTTCAGCATACAGTGCAGTTTCTGAGAGAGGCTGTTGCTTGTGGCTTCCGAGGAAAAAGGCATAAATCTTGGGCACTTGGCAGTTTTGAAATAAGAAACCTGTGCAGGGAAGTTCATCTGTGATCATAAGCAGTTTCATGGCTGGCTTCTATTCCAAAGCTGGAAAAGGGTTTTACGTCTCCTAAAATATATCATTGTTATCTCTAGAGATCATATCTCTATCATAACTGTGGGTATTTGCATTGTCCAGTCCATTTTAAAAATCCTATTAGGCTTTTGACCTCTGTGATTTTTATCTGCACAAATTCCCTTGCAGAAAAACTGACCATTCACAAGGTTCCCTGCACTGAAAGCATGTCTACACTGCATTTCTGCATTGTGGTATCCAAACAGGGGTGTTTTCAACCTGAAGATGTGTCTGCCAGCATGGTTGAAAGCAAGATGTGAATGTATATTTGGGCAAGGCTGTAATCAAGGCTAGCTTTGCAGCATGGTTGTAGTACTGTTGTAAGTGACAGGGCTGGAATAATGAGCTGTTGACTACACTTCTGAAAACTAGTTGTGCTTCCATCTCTCTTCTTCCTTTGCTTTTGTCACCTTATCTCCTTCATACCTGTTGTCCCTGGAAGATGAAAATGCAAAGTAACGCGAACAAACTCATGCAAAGTGAATGCTAAACAAATATTGCAGATTCTGTTATAAAGTGGAATCTGAGTTGTGCTTCCCAGCAGTGACTTGTGGGCATCATCTCTTGTTAGTGGCACGTGGAGCATCCATTCCTTTGTTTATCTGCCCTGCTGCAGGGCCCTTGTTGACACCTGCAAATACAGACTGAAGGATATGGGTTTCATCAGCGTCATTGCTGTGTTCCTCACAAAAACCCTCGCTCTTACTTCGCAAATGTTGAGCAGAGCAGAGTTGGCAACATTTATGGGAATGTCATTTGTGACATTAGCAGCAAAATGGCAGCATCATCTTGCTTTGGCAGCAAGTGTGTGCTCTATTAGCAGTGCCCATGCGCTGAGTTTTTAATTTTATTGTATTTTGTGTTTTAATGCTTTTCCTCTGTGGTCAGGGTACTGCTCCACAACCAGACCAAAAGAAGGTAGTAAGGTTTTCTAAAGGTGTCAGTGGACACTGCTGTGTTGATAACAATAGCAGTAGGACCTCATCTTGTCACTCCTCTTACGCACCAGATCTCTTCAGTGTGCATGCACTTTTAAAACATTTTTAACGTCAGTGCCTTTTGATCTGCTTTGTTTCCCTGAGATACAACTCTCTGTGAAAAGCCACTGCTGAGATGCTTAGTCTGAACTTGCCATTTCTGCTGGATCCTTAGGATCGGATGAAAACAATGTCAACTCTTTCTTTCTACTGCCTCTTCTGTGGGATGAAACAAAATTCTGAAAAAAAATACAGAAATGTCACCCTGAGGAGCTTGTGATCCTTTCTGTCCATCTCCTGCCAGCCCACTGTTGTCTGGTGATGGTGGTAAATCAAGAGTGAAGTCATATTTCTGTGAGTGGGAGCACTGTAAAAAAATAAAAGCACAGGGAGAAGCATATATAGCAAACATTCACAATTCTGATTTTAAAAAAAAATAACTCACAAAACATTCAACAATTCTGACAAAAAGCCAGCTCTTTCATGAGAAGTTCTGAGCAACATTCCCATAAACTGTAGGACTCTGAGTGTATTGTGAGGACTAAGGTGCTGGGAGCTACTTATGACCACCAACACTTCTCCATCAGAGGTATATTTGAGTGGCAGAGAAATATTTTATCCCTCCTATCCCCATTTATCTTAGGGAATCCTGCAAATATATCTGGTTTGGGAGTTCTAGACTGCCGATGGGAAAGCTGGAACATGGTGAAGTCATTAATTTCACTGAGTTAAACTCTAGATTTAGTGCTGGTTTATTTTAAACAGAGTGAGTTGTTCAGAGCTTGGGGAAAGCACTTTTTAAGTGGGAATGCCAACTAAACTCCTAAGTTATGAGAGAATTACAGTGATCTGGTACAGAATTGTACCAGAAATGGAGAAGTCCTGCAATGCAGCTTCTTGTAACTTCTTTTCTGTATGAGTGTCCCTAATCAAGCTCGCACATTTACCCAGCTTTAAAACTTCAGATGTGATTTGCGGTGTAAAATTTGATGGAGAGTTGATAAGGCAGGAATGCTGCTCCAGAAGTCATCAGCAATCTGCTGTTATTGTTCAGTCTCACTGGAGATCTACCCGGAGGCTTTTAGCAGGAGCAGAAAGCTGCTTTGTGCTGTGTGTTAAACAGACAGTAGCAGGCAGTCCTGGCCTCACTCAGATATTAAGATGATACCCCAGATTCTGCAAATTTGAAGCTGTTTTGTGCTACCACTGTACTCAACGTGAGTGGCCCCAACAGGTCAGTCAGTGATTGAGTCAAGCTACTCTTGAGCCAGTTTGCAGGATTACCCTGTAGATTCAGCATTTAACTAGACATTATGCCAGTAATAAGTCTCCTGCTCCCTTTTTTCTTTTTTTTTTTTTTTGCATTTCAGCACTCATACCTATAAAAAGTTGCATCGATTTAGGATTTTAGATTTAGAATCATGTTCCTATTTTAAGATAAATAAGCCCCTCTAAAGACCGTCTCAACGTTTCTTGCAGATTTGAAAATAAAGCTTGATGGTAAAAACACTCCTCAGAGAGGTTTTATTGACTTCAGGGGATTTCAGTGTGCCACTGGAGCAACTGAAAGATCTGTTTCCAGAAAAGGCATGGATTTAGCTCAAGAAAAAGGCTTCCCCCAACACAAACAGCTGTTTCTTGTCACATAAGAAAGCAAAGCTGCAAAAGAAGTTGGGCATAAATTACAGGGTGAATAAAACTGCTGCTTCCCTGCAAAAATCCCTCAAAAAGTCTGGAGCATAGGAGGGTTTTCCGGCTCGTGATGCAAGACCCGTGGGCTGGGCTGAAGCTTGACATCAGGAGGAAACTGAAACCCAGCATTGGTGGAAGCTGCCTGTGATGCAGAGGTGAAGGCTGGATCTGGATGCTTCGGGGAGGTGAAAGAGGGGGACAGCCCGCGATCCAAAGAGCGAGAGAAGCAGGAGTCCATGAGTGGCAGTGGAGGAGAAACTGGGAGAAAGGGGCGGTCTGGCAGAATAGGAGGGCAGCCTCAGCATTTGTAGAAGGTAAATAAGCAATCACAGTAAAATAAGGGGCAGTTGGAGTGCAGAACGTCTGGTTGCTGCTGCTCTCCTGGTCTGGCTGGATTCCTTGCAGATGGTGTGTGCTGTTCTCTCCTCAGCACGTTTCTGTTCACTCGTGCGAGGCTTTACAGGGAATCTAGTGATCTGCCTTAATCTAAAAGCCTTGTTAAAAACTGTGAATCAACTCCAAACACAAAAGAATTAGTTTTCAGTGGGTGATTTTTCTTTTTGAAGTACATTTGTATGGGGAAAAAAAAAAAAAGAGAGTTCGGAGACAGGCATGTAACATCCGTAAGATGCATGCGCTTTAAGGGAGGGGGGATTGAAAGATAAAGATCTCCTGCAATTAGCTGCTGAACTTCATGTTTACTTTAGATCGCTTCCTTTAGGTCTGTTAGCAAGCTGTTAACACCTGCAGGGAACAGAGTCGCCAAAAAATCTTGGAGTATTTAAATAGTTCTGATTGTATTTTCTATGTTAAGAGAATGGTGTGAGATTGCAGAAGCAGGATATAAAGAGGGATCATAGTGGAAACTGACTGTGTGATGAAGTGTAAACAAATCAGAAGTCAAATTAAGTCCTATTAAATCTGACTCAGAGATGATTTGCCTCAACTTGACTTCTGTGGGGTTGGAGGGTGTTTTCTCCTGTGCTACCTAAATGGTATCTGAGCATTGTGCAGATGCTGCCGAGTTAATCAAACGAACATTCATTCGAGCACGAGCTTTTAGGGATGAGTGATCAGGGCGTTTGCTGAGGCTGCAGGTCACACAGGACCCCCTCAAACTAAAATAACAGAGCACATCATCCTGTGTGGGGGTGGGAATGGGAGAAAAAGAAACCTCTCTCTTGGCATCTGACCCTACAATTGTGACACTGGCTCTGCCCTTGAAGAGAGAGATTTAGGGTTTTGTTTCCTGTTTTCAAGTAAATCTCTTATCTAGGATCTAGTATCCACTATCCACCAGTATGCTGAGAGGCAGCAATAATGAATTTTTCCATCACATCCAGGGGAGGCTGATGGCAGCACTGCACCTCTCTGGCATTACACGCTCTAATTACATGCCAGGTTTTCAAGAGATGCTGAGGCATCACAGAAGAGAGAAAACAGATAAAAGCCAAGATTCCAGAAAAAAAAAAATGACAGAGCAGATCAGACAAACACCAACAGAGAAAATGCAGCTCATTTCATGGGCGAAAAACAGCTATCACAAACACAGGCTGCAGTAGCTGGAATTAATTGCACTCCAGAGGGATGATGCAGCACCCATGTTTTGAAGATCTCAATGACTCTCCAGCCACACACCAGTCCTGTGCTCAGCACTGTTTGGTAGGAGGCCAGGATGTTTATTCACTTAACTCCCTTCTCAAGACTTTTCCACAGGTATATGAGAATGGGGGATTTGATGGAGTCATTAGGCATAATATTTTAAATTAACAGTAACCAAACGACTCAGTTTTTTGCTCAAAGATGATCCAAATTTTGGACAGGGCCCAAATAAGCTTGGTTCAGATCAGTGTACAGAAGCACCTACACTTGTTTCAAGAATAACTCTAATATTTCTAAAGCATATCAATATATGTATGAATCATAGTTTTGAAAGACTGCAACTATTTTGGAGTAAGGAGTTTAAGGGTTACAGGTGTTTTTGACCACCAGTGTTGGTTTCCTGCAAATCTAAATCTCTGTCTTTGCAGAGTGATTTTGTTCTTGGCTGTTATTATGTTTACTGTAATTATAACTTATTTTTAGGAGTCCACTTCATATTTGAGGCACAAGTGTGTTTCTGAAGTATTGAAAAACAGCAGTGTCCTCTTGTCAAGAAAAGTGAGAAAATGGGAATAGCCAGTACTTGCATTTGTATAACATCAGTTGCCCAAGATCCAGGGAATTTTCATTAAAAGGTTGTGTGATAGCTGCAGATCTACTCCTGAGTACACTGAATATGATGGAGTACATGCAGACTCAGTCCTCTAGGATTTGCATGGGAAAGAAAACTTGGAAAAATGGGAAGATAGGATACTCTGGATGACACCTGGGGGGCCATGCATGAAGAAAGGGACAACCTTAAGCTCTAGTAAAGTTGTCAGGTGGCTTTTACAGCTCAAGCTTACCTGTCTAGAGCTTTGGTACTATAGACAATATTGGTATAGGGTTAAATTAGAATCCCTTTTTGTTGAGTTCTCTGAGCATCAGTTTGGTAATTTTACCTCTATCTCCTTTTCAGATCAGTTTTTACTTGGAAACTATTTTTTAAATTGGGATGTGGGAGGCTTACTAGGTCACAGAAAGTGACAGACTGAAGATGTAATCAATAGTTCATTTCTGGGAAAGAGGGTGCCAGAGGAGGTGATGCAGGACAGGTGAATTGCTCTAATGGGGCTCAGTCATAGACTGAGAAAATTACTTTTTATTGCCTTTGCTCATCATCGTCAGTTCTAACCCTTAGTGTTCATTTATTAACTTTGCAATGATTCTCTGAAGAATTGGGATGCATTTGCCTTACAAAACTCTCAGGAGTGTGCTTCTTGCTGTTTGGGTATTAAGACACGTAGTAAAATATTTAAAGTTATCGATTATAACTGTCAATACAGTCTCTGTTAGGAAAATTAGCTTTAATTTGTAAAAAAAAAAAAAAAAAGAGCTCACTAATAAATCTCACTGTGTCTCTCTGGGCTTACAAGTGAGGATGTAGAATCACTGAGGAGCTTCCACCTCCCTTTTTCAGGAACAGAAGGGGAAGTACAACCTCTGAAGTGAAATCTCACACTACTGTCTTTGCCCTTTAAGTTAGAAGAGAACCCTTCTGTGTGGCAAGTTTAACCACAGGCAGCATTTTTGCATTCTTAGCTACTCATGTGGTTTTAGCAAAATGCCACTTTTTGGAGCTCTAAGACTGGGCCAATCAGCAGTTCCAGTTTGTGAACTCAGTTATATATATCCCAACTTGAGATCTGAGAAGGAAATAATAGCTGCTGGCCTGTTTTTACTGGCAGTGTGAGAACTGTGTGCTCAGTTATCAGTTCCGTTTTGCTGCTGCTCCTGTCAATATCCCACAAGTGATTTTACAAGTAAAAATTGCGTGTGATCATCTTTGTTGGAGGGACTGTATTTTCCACGTGATCCCAGCAAGGAGCCAATATTCTGTAGTAGTTCCCAAACTATTAACTGCTATCTTCTCTGTTAAAGACCTTTCTTATATTTCAATCATGCTCATTTTACAGTTACTTTTAGTATTTCAGTTCTGAAATACCTTTCAGCGTCCTAGTAAGGGGCTTTTTTCTATCCTTGATTAAATGATGCATTGTATGACATTTCAAGCTTGCAACATTCTGTTCTGAAAAGTGAGTATCATTCAGTTTCAGTACCTTTGTACTTGTTCATGTAAAGGTAACCATATATAGACCAAGAACCTCAAGTTCAATGGGTAACTAAATTTTGGAAATAAGACAACAGCTGGTGGAATTTCTTAGCAATGGGCAACCTTCTAGACCTGCAGCTGAAACTGATACACTTCACACTTAGACAGCTAATAATAAAAATACCAGTTCACACCTCAGTAGATCTGTTTCTCAAGAAGCTTGTATTGTTTATGGTGAAACCAAAAAAATATTGCTGTGTTGTATGTTGGAGCAATCCACATCTTCTGGTGGCTTCTGGCCTGGGATTAAAATCACCAGAAAACCAATAGTGTTGTTACTTGCAAAACAGTTTAAGCTCAGCAAAAGTGGCATGGCTCCTGCTTCTTTTCATTTAAGCTTTTGATATCTCTTAAGGCTTAGAACAAAATGAGAGGTATTATTAGTTAGGTAAATGAATACCATCTGCAGCACTTTTCTTTATCTGACAAAGGAAAAAAATGGCTTCAGTTAGGGCTGAAAGCAAATTGCTTGTGGTCCTGGGCCTCAAAACTCACCAGATTTTCTGGGCCACATACTGAATTATTTTTTTTGTATGAGATTTTCACTGTTGATTATTTTTTGGCAGCATTACATAGATAGAGAGAAAAGAAAATCTGTCCTGAAACAGATTAATAAAGTTTTGTAGAATTTCAAGGCAAATTTATTAAGTGGACTCGTGGGAGCATTCATTCAACATTACAAGAGGTTGCTAGGAGAAACTGTGGAATTTCCTTGGAACTTCCCTGAGCAGACTGCCACAGTTTAGGGTAGACCTTTCTCCCAGTGGAATGTAGGAACAGAGAATGTCCAGAAGTAACAACCTTCAATAAATTGTCCCTGGTCATGGCAGGTGGGGATATTAGGCAGAAATCATTGGCTGTGAGGGTGGTGAGGCCCTGGCACAGGTTGCCCCATCCCTGGAAGTGCCCAAGGCCAGTTTGGATGGGGCTTGGAGCAACCTGGGGCAGTGGAAGGTGTCCCTGCCCATGGCAGGGGGTGAAATGAGATGAGCTTTAAGGTCCCTTCCAAACAAAACCATTCTGTGATTCCATGATTAGAAGACAGCTCTTGCTGCCTTACAACAAAACTGAGATAGAATTTCCTCCTAATATCTGGTCCAAATCTCTCCCCTTTTAGTTTAAAGCCTTTCCCCTTTTCTGATCACACTCTGCCCTTGTAAAAAGTTGCTCTCCATATTTTTTATAATCCCCCTTTAGGCACTAGAAGGCCACAATAAGGTGTTCCTGGAACCTTCTCTTCTCCATGTGAACACCCCCATCTCTCCCAGCCTACCTTCACAGCAGAGGAGCTCCAGCTCTTGGAGCATCTCCATGGCCTCCTCTGGACCTGCTACAACAGGTCCCCACATCTTCCTTGTGCTGAAGATCCCAGACCTGGATGCAGCACTCTAGGTGTAGGCTCACTAGGGCAGAGTAGAGGGGGAGAATCTCCTCCCTTGACCTGCTGGTCACATCTAAATTAGTCATTTAAGCACTTTCTGAAGTCAGTGGGGAGAGAGGAGCACACCCAAGGGCTGATTTGCCTCAGTACCTACCTGAAAAAGAAATGGAGCTTTCTTT